TGTGTTACTAAGATGAGAGAATATTTACAATGGAGTCATTCTTTTCTGTATAAATTAGTCATATCAGGGAGAAAGCAAAGCATTCCTTCTGTTTTTGTGTGTTTTTTTGAAAGAGTACTTTGGTCATTGTGGAAAATCTGCAAACCTTTCTATTCAATACCCAATTTAGTACATTACAGTAAAATCATAGGAAATTAAAGAGAAGACTTCCTATATGGCTTAGCTGCAATCTATCCAAAATCATGTGCTTCACAGCTGATGTACATTTAATATTATACTAGCTTGTTTAGAGACTAAAAAAAAATTAACCCCTTTAGCAACCACAGCTCCAACATAATTACAGTCAGTCCTTCAAACGTCATTTAATACTTAAGATTTGAAGGTGACTTTTTAAGATCAAAAGGTAATGTGAAAATCTTGAAGCAGTCAATTTGGAAACCCCAGGAGCAGAATTTGGCATAGCAGGACAGGTTTTCTTCTTCAGCAAACATTATCTTGGGACATTTTGGAATAATTTCCTCTTTTCATCTTTTGCCATTTGAAGGAAAACTGGGAGGTTAAATAATTCTTGGAACTCAGAAATTTCAAAGCTGTTTAAAAATTCTCAACTGAGCCCCAGAGGAACAGAAAAAGGGGTCAAGTTTTTTTTTCCCTCTTGATAACTCAGCTAAAGTTAGACCAAAACAATAGACACACAGGCACGTTAATACTGGTTGACTGGGCACTTGTATGCAGTACTTATAGACCAGTAAAAGTGCTCGTTTACCTGTCTGGTGTGTAAGGGGCCCTTTGTCTTGAAGCCTCCTTGGGAACTGCACTCTGAGGCACTGAAGTGATCTGAACTAGTGGAGGAGCGTTTGGAAAGGGTGTCGCAACCCCCGACAAAGGTGTTGTCCAAAGGGAGTTCCTGAATCACGTGATGCTTCTTCACGGAAACCGGCGTGTCTGGTTTAAGATGGAAAGCCGGCTGTGGAGAAGCAGATTTGTAGTGCTTGGCCAGGTCAGGGCTGTTAGGCTTGAAGGTTGTTGGAGGTGCCGGGCCCCAGTCAAATCTTCCTATACTTTGCTCCTCCAACTCAGCTGGCAGGCTTATCGTCCCATTGATAGGTTCGTGAACTGCATCCTCGGGTTTGGACTCTTCAATCGTAACAAAGTTCAAAAGAGAGCTCTTGGGAGACTTTCTTTTCTTCCTTTTCTTTTTCTTGTTTTGTTTATTCTCCTGGTTTGGGGACATCCATTCAGCACCTTGCTTGCTCCTCTGGGCGGCTTTGAACCTTGACGCATGGCGACAGCGCACCAGAACGGTGACGAAGATCACCACGATCACCACCATGGCTCCGGCCACGATGGCGATCATGATGGTGAGATAGTCCTCGTTTTGATAGGGCTGGCTACTATCCCCTATGTTCCTGTCCAACGGTGTCTCCATAGTCCTGCGGATCAAGTCATAGATATAGGAGGCGTTTCCAGCAGTGTCGTTAACATAGAGAAAGACAAGCACCAGTGTGTGCAAAGACTTAGGGTATCCCAGGTCACTTATGTTGACCACCAAACGGTGCAAGCCCACATCAGTGGGCGCTGGTTTTTCTTCCAGAGTAATGTTCCCTGTTACTGGATCAATCCGAAACAAGCCTTTGTTGTTCCCACTCACAATGGTATACTTCAGTTCTGCGTTCATCCCCGTGTCAATATCCACGGCGAAAACTTCTGCCACCACAGAGCCAGGAATGGCTGAGAGGGGCACCAACTTAAAAGAAGTGTTAGAAGGTGGAGAGATGACCACGGGGCTATTGTCATTGACATCCATGACATTGATAGTTACTTTTGCAGTAGAGGACCGGGGTGGTTGTCCTCCATCGGTGGCTTTGACATCAAACGTGTAGGAACTCTGCTGCTCTCTATCAAATGAGACATTTGACTTTATGACTCCAGAATAGGGATCCAACACAAAATTATCATTGTCATTTAGAATGGAAAGAGTCACGGCTTTATTCTCTCCAGCATCTGCGTCTGTCACTGTGATCACCCCCACAGTACTATACTTTGGCAGATTCTCAGACACAAAAAATTGAAAATGATTATGGGTAAACTTGGGGCTATTGTCATTCTCATCCAGAACAGTAACTATCACAGCCGCTTGGCTCTGGAGGGGAGGGGTCCCACTGTCCCTGGCAGTTACTGTAAAAATGAATCGTTCTTGTTCTTCTCTGTCAAAGACTCTGGAGGCTGTCAAAACTCCTGTCTTTCGGTCCAGATCAAAGAAGGAGGCATTCGGTCCAAGCTGATAAACAATGTCTGCATTTTTCCCACTGTCTTCATCTGTGGCACTAATCGTTGTTAAGTATAACCCACGCCGGTTGTTTTCCGAAACTGACAGCTCAATTACAGGCTGGTTGAAAATGGGTGGGTTGTCATTTTCGTCCTCAAGCTTAACCCTTACCAGGGCAGTCTGATTTAAACTGGGCTTCCCAGAATCAGAGGCAACAATTTTAAAGCTGAATTCTTTGGTGCCCTCATAGTCCAGCAAAGAGGAGGTCTCTAACAAATACTGGTTGTCGTAGACTGCCTTCAAATGAAATGGGACCTCTCTTTCAATAAAACAGATCACTTTGCCATTCACATCGGTGTCTTTATCTGAAACTGTAATTAGGGCAATCTTTGTATTGACAGGATCTTTCTCAGATAAATACACTGTGCCATTGATGGGGCTTATTATGTACCTGAGGTCTATGTTAGGAGGGTTATCATTGACATCAGTGACATTGATGGTGACTGTTGCTCGAGCAGGAGTGGAGCTGCCATCGCTAGCCAGCACTGTCACTTTGTGAATGGCTGTCTCCTCTCGATCTAAGGACCTCTGAACTGTAATCAGCCCAGTAGTATTGTTTAAAGCAAAGAGTCTTTTGGTTGCGGGGGCGACCTGGGCACCAAAAATGTACCGGATTTCAGCATTACTGCCTATATCTGCATCAGTGGCATGGAGCTGAATCACAGAAGTGCCTACAGGAGCATTCTCTGGAATATGCACCTCCACTTGACCCTCTTTAAACACTGGCCTGTTGTCATTTACATCACTTACTGTGACCTGCAGGATGGCTGTGCTGGATTTCTGCGGAGTGCCTCCATCCTCTACTTTGATTTTCATCACATAGGTATCTTTCTGTTCTCTGTCCAAGTTTTGCTGAACAATCAATTGTGGCCACTTTTCTCCCTCCGGAGTTTCCACGATATCCAGTCCAAAAACACTCTGCCCATTCAACAATTCATAATGCTGTACACCATTGAAGCCTGTGTCAGGATCTGTTGCTGATGGGATTGGAAAGCGGCTGTTGATCAAAGTGTTTTCTGGAATGGAAATATTGATGACAGGAGATGGAAACATGGGGGCATTATCGTTGGTATCCTTGACAATTATTTTTATTTTGATCAGCCTGAAAAAATCATTGGGAAGGATCACCACTTCAAGTTCAAAGAAACACTCATTCTCCTCAGCATAAGAGGCTCCAGCACAGAGTTTTTCTCTGTCTATTCGATTGGAGGTTGTGAAAATTTCCCCAGTGCTACTGGATACTTTCACCAAAGGGGCATCCCCAGCTTTAGAGACCAGTCTGTAGACAAGGCTGGCACTGGCCCCCGTGGCAGCATTGATGTGAGAAATGTTCAGATCCTTTGGTATGTTCCCTATGGGCACATTTTCAGGCAATTCCTCTCTAATAGTGTAAATAAGTTCTTGAGCTATTGCAGAATCCAGCCTTAAACAGGCAATCAGAGCAGCCAACAGGTAAAAATCCCTCAGGTCCATGTTAATGTATTTATTTTCTTCTCCCGGATTTTAGAGTTTAAAGGTTTCCACTGAGGAATGATGCACAAATGGCAAGAGGGAGCAAGCATGGATGGACTGGAGGATGCATTACATCTTGCCGCTTATTTGGAGACAGCCACTGTCAACACAATCGTATAGACAATATTATTCTTCAGGAAACAAAAACACAGTCATGAAATATCACATTTTCCACTGCATATTAGTAAACATGGCAGTTTGCTCTGCCCCTGTTTGCAAGTTAACTCTGTGGATAAAGACATTAAATAGCCCCTGCTTGTTGCATTTGCCCAGAGAGAATGAAATTATCTACTTTTGAATTAAGGACAGCTGCTATTTTTACCTCGGTTCACCCACAGTATTTTTCAGGACACTGTTTAATTCAAAACATGCGTTCTCCTCCTCCCTTCCCCCTTTCTTCCCCGCCTCCTGGCTTCTAACCCACCTCCCTTAGTTTTTTTAGGTGCAAGTGAAAAACACTAGTATTTAACTATGGTTCCTGCTAATTGCTTTGTCACATGTCAAATGTGATGTGTTTTCTTCTCCGCTGAACTGAGTCATCTCTTTCTTCTAAAAACACTATCTTTTTCTTTCCTTCCAGTTCTTCAACTGCCTTCTAATACAATCTTACTGGGAAACAAGCATCCGGACATGCTGCTGCAGCATCAGAAGCAATAGTCGCCGGCCACTACAGACACACAGTGGCTGAAAGCACGATACCAAGACTTTAGATTCCTACCCAGACCTTGCTCTCATTTATCCATGATGCCAGATTATTCCCGTTAGAATTAATAAACACATTAAAACTTTTAAAAATGTATAATAATAGAGAATTCCTTATCCTAGAGGCAGAAGAGTGTGTCGAGATGTAAGTAAAACGCAGCTAACATTTCCATGTAACAACACAATATTTGCTACGGAGCATAAAAGGAAAAAAAAATGCAGTTTCTTAACCCTTATCTCTGGTTATAATATTAGTAATATCTGCCACACATAAATACTGCAGCCCAATAGCGCAGGTAAAAAGGCTATTGCTTAGATACTCCCTGGCTGCAATTTAAATGGGTGCAAGGCTCCAGGAAGCTACCTCCTTGAGTAGAACTAGTCAGTTCCCAGGCTCTAATCTTATCTGCATTAGGCTGCACGGTAGCTGATGCCCGCGATTAGTTCCAGCAGAGCGATGCAGGTAGGGATGCAGATACAGCCTTAGTAAGAGAGCTCTGCCCCAACCGTCTACCCAATTACAAACATCCCTCGTCTACACTGAGGACATATCCAAACACAAATTTTACAATTGTGCATGCGAAACTTTATACTTACGTTAGTTGCCTCAACCTTTCCCCTTTCCCGATATGCTGCAGTTGGGAATGATTTGTTCCAACACATAGAAAGCCATGCATCTGGTAGCACCAGTTTGGGGAGAAATCAGAAGCAGCAAAACGTTTCCTCCTTGTAAAATGTGTTGCTTCGGGCTGGCAAATTAGCAACTCCAGAGAACAAATTCACAGATTTGTCGTTAGTCATTCTCTCCACATTTCCTCTGTATTACCCACGGGGTCTGGGCTCTTCTGGTATTTAGCACAACATCCAGTTGCACTTCTTCCGCTCAGGGGTATTTTTCCACAGCATCAAGCATACCATTTCCCTCCGATGCCAATACTGCTTAAGTGTCTAACTTCTTTCAGGAGACGTCAGAGTTGGGGTGACGGTGATTCTCTTGCTCCTCTCCCGGGTGACAGTTTCCAGAAAAATTCCTAATCAGTTATTTCTTCCGTGCTTCAGAGACTCTACGGCGCTCCTTCCTGTCTCGCATGCTCTCCCGCTCTCCCTTCTCCTCTGCCCCTCGCTCCTTCCCCCTCTCCTCTCTCTCCTCTCTGAACTGAATTTCTTGATATAACTCTCAATAAGCCCAGAGGGAGGGCGTGACGGCTTCAGCCCCGCCCCCGGGCCCTGATTGGCCTGCATCTTGCGGCGCGGGCGGCCGCAGCCGGGGCGAGGGAGGGGGCGCGGAACAAGGCGCTGACTGTCTTCCATCCACCCCTTCTCGGCGCCCCCTCGGCATCCGCGAAAACCCGGAGAAGTGATCCTGGCCCTGGGAGAGCCGGGCTCCCGGATGCGTAATGAGCATGCCCAGAAGGGTCCCCCAGGAAGGGGAGCGCGGGCTCTCCCCGAGGCCCGCCGGGACGCGGCGCTTGCTGGCGCTCGTGGGCCTTCGGGTTGCTCGGTGCTGCGCGGGGCAGCGAACGGGGAAGCCCCGGCGGCCGGACGAGCAGGGGCGGCGCGGGAGGCCAGCCGGGCGTGCGGGCGCAGTCCCGGGGAGCGGTGGGCAGAGGGGGGACGCCAGAGGGGCTCATCGCGGGGCACACATTTTGCACTTTGCTAAATGGAGGGGTCAAAATGCCAAGACAGGAAAGAGCCAACCCGGTGCCGAGAGATTCGAGACGCTGGGTCACCCCTCGGAGGTGAGCAGGGGCCCGATGCTCGGAGCGCGGTACATGTCCGGGGCTGCGACTAGAAGCTTTCGCTGGCAGGACGCTGGCGGGAAGGGCCGAGAGGGCGGACAGCGAAAGGTCAGGGCAGAGGATATTTGAACCCATCAGAACCGGAAAGAAAACCTGAGCGTTCTGTACAGGCAGGGTGACGAAAGCTGCCAGGGGAAACGGAGAGTGGCAGGCTCTGGGGTCCCCAAAGCCCTAAGCCAGTGTGGTATGCGGTGCTGTCTTGGCCGCGGCGGCCGACCGCGACTGTCCTTGCGCTTCTGCTCCCGCCGCGCCCCGACCCCTGCGAACCCGAGCTCGCCGCGACGCGCGGCTGCAGCAAAACCCGCTTCCAGCTCACCTAACTGCAAACTTTGCTTTGGAGAGGCTGGAGGGAGTCCCGTCCAGCTGCCCCCCAATCTGTGGAATGTTTCCTTTTCCCTTGGACTCTGCTGATTCCAACTTTATATGTAATACGTGTCGTTCCCTGTGCAGTTCATTTCTGTGACTCCAGTTCTGTACCGTATCCTTACACGTTTCTCATTTTCATACAAAAGCCGGGTGTGATGACTCCCGAAAGGATTAGCCTTATTCCTTAAATACTGGTCCCCAAAGCGCTCTCAGCATTTGATCTTTTCTAATCAGTAAATCGCGAAGGTTTGTGTAAGTGGGTTGTGTGCCTACAACGCTAGATACCTGAGTAAGGTTTGAAGCATTAACAGTTCACTTGGAACAAAAAATTAATTTTTTTTGAATGACCTATAAAGGTTGTCTGAGAAGGTCTTAATGCATGATTGAGTAACTTGTTCTAACTTACAGGGAGAATAAAGGGCATTTATTTTAAACCTACACGTTCCCCATTCTGTACCGGGCTGTAGATGGATTAAAGGCTCTTCACGTAGGTATGCACTATGATTACATGTTCACAGATACCTCTTGTTTTTTCAATGGTTTTCTTGTTCAATATGAACATTATATTAAAATACTTAAATTAAAAATACAAAAAATTACAAAGTAAACCCAACAGTATATAAGTAATACCATTACATAACCAACTCATTTTACATTACAACTTCCCCTCATCTATGAAAATGTAAGCTTTTTTTTCAAACTTTTCCTAAGGTGAATATTCACAGCAACGTGCAGTGCTCAAAAGCCCACTGAAAAATACATTAGTTTCTTATATGTGAAATATAAGGCAGGTTTCTTGCAGGCAATAGATTGATATTGTTTTTAAATAGCCAAACACTTCTTACAACAGCATTTTGTCTGATAAGAATACACAAATTTAAGAATAAAAAGGACTGCTTAAATAAAAACAAGTCTCATACAATAATGCAAGTAAATAAAGGGAAGATTCTTGTACCACAGTGAATGATCATTTTGCGATTCACAAAATTTACAGTTAAAGCTAGTGCATTGTTCCAATTGTCACCTATTTTATGTTATGACATTTACTTTAAAATAGCCATCGTTTTGATACTTTAACAATAAACATAACACAGCTGCTTTCCAGTCCATAAGCATCACTGTTATCTTCCATTCTTATTCTAATCATACAATAGTCCTTTCAAAGTAATGTTGGAGTCCCAACACAGAGCTCAGCAACAATTACTTAACATTATTACCCATGCAGAATTGTTTCTCTTTGCTAAGGGAGAGCTTCAATTGTAGTCACAACTCATTATTACCCTATGCTTATAGATGAAATCCTAGTATGAACACATATGAAGAAGGTAAGAGAAAAATTTATCACATGATTTAAGTTATGACCATGAGTCTTCAATTAAAGGAAACCACACGTAAAAGCCCCAAAATGAAGTACATCTAAATTCTTTCTAAAGGAGACTGAATATAATAAAGAATAGAGCCACTGACTTCAGTGCATTCTATCTTGTAGGTGTTTATTTGGCAGATCTAAGTTATTGGGGGATTCTTTAATCACACTAGTTTCAGCCCTTAAAGCTAGAATAATTGAAGCTTATTGTTTGGCCTATTGCATTACAACTACTGAACTCCAGAATGAGAACTATTATTAGAGATCTTATTAACATTCCTGGAAAAAAAATATAAAGGGTCCTATTCCTAAGCCCCTGCTATCTTAACTTAAGGCTTCTGACCAAAACGCTATAAAAAATTTGCATAATGAAGCTGCTCATAATCCACCTCTCCTATTTTTTAAAAGTGATCTCTGCATAATTATAAATTAAGGAAATTATATAAATTTTAGCTTTTGTAGGGGAACATCTATTGGGGTTTTGCTGCATTCTAATCACTTTTTTCCTTAGTAAATTTAACAAATTAGATTTCCAATTATATGACTTCCAGTATAGATCTTCCAATACAATTTTAGACTTTCAGTTAGACGTCTTTAACCCTTATTCATCTTTGCCAATGCATGTTTTCTACAGCAAGGAATCATGATGTTCTTACCTGTGTTGTACCTGATTAACACTTTAGGAATTATGCCATCTGGGTTATATAGTTAAATTGCCTTAGTGTTCTCTGCTGGTTATATAAGTCATGGGATACTTGTGAGGCTAAGTCACCTTCAGCCAGCTAACTGAAGACTGAAATACTATTACTGATCTATACAGAAACAGATGTCAAGTTAATAAAATTGTTTTATATTTCAAAAATGTAATGTTCTGTTTATATATACTGATAATTTCCATGTAATGGCATTTAATAACCTATATTATGGATTATTTCAGTGTGTTAGTTGGATTTTCATCTGTGATTTTCTAGTTACCACTCAGCATTTCAAAATTACATTTCACACAGATTTTGTAATGGCTTTTTTTTAAGTTACATTTTATATGAGACAATAGACTGTGGTATTTGGAATGATCGAATGATGTCCTCAAGGATTCTGAGACTGAAATTTTCAAATCTGATATTCTAGTTTTAGTTCAAAGTTGAAAAAAACAACTTTTGTGCCCTATAATCCTAAAGTCCCTTTAATCCAGATACCTTATTGTGTCTAACAGACATTGACCAATCACAGAGGCTCTGACGTGTCACACAGGTGTTATTGTCCTCATTTCAAAAAAGAGGCTAGATTATTGCCCTGTACTTCTATTCTCAACAACATTTTGTTGAGAAAGTGTGTGAACAGTGGTAAGGGTTATTTGTATTATCACTATTTAGAAAATGACAATGCAGAATTTTAACACTACAAAAAGAAAATTAACACCTTTTCAAGCTATGCAAACTGGCAAAATGTAGTAAGCTCCCAGAATAATTCTTTTTGCTCCACTGTTAGTTCCTTCCTTTGAATGCCTTTTTTTCCCTTTTCTTTCTTTCTTTAAAGGAAACCCCAGACCAAGGTAATCAAAACACAAAAGAAAGCAGGTGACAAGAAGCTTCATTCTGTTTGAATGACTGAACTAAACTTATCCCAATTTGCTATATTGTCCTGACTGACAATTATAGATGTCATCTTTGTAGCTCTAACAGTTATTATAATATAAACTGACATTTTCCATTGCCACTATTTTATCATGATTACTATATAAATAAAGGAAATACTGAATTTCCAAATTTCATTATGGGTTAAGACTTAAGAGTAGATATAGGCATAACTTTCATAACAAATGTTTTCCCCATCACAGGTAGGGCTCAAGTCATTGTGCAGGAGAACATGAAAAAGTCATTTAAAGATTGTAAAAGGAGAATATGTTTAACCTTAAATAATTTGATCAATTTTGTCATGTAATTTCAAGTGAAATGTATAAAACTTTGTTTCTTACATCTGTATATTTATTTTTCTGGGTAAGTACTGTTTGATTAGAGTATCCAGTATGATCTATTCAATTCATATGTACATAAATGTATATATATATGTATATATATACACACACACACACACACACATATATGTTTATAACCAAAGATGGAGAAATAGCATGCATGTTATTTGGAAGCACCCCTATATACACTTAGAGATAAAATAGAAATAGAAAAATGTTGAGAAAGAACATGTTTTAAGCACAACAGCATTTTTCCAAAGATAATTTGGGAAAAATATTTTTTAAGCTATTAGGACTTTTTCAAGTTAAAATATAGAAAAGTTTTGCTTTTATTCTATCAGAACATTCTCATTAATAAAAGTATGTTCTTGAAAATAGAATTTCCTGTCACCTTAAAAACATCATTCCAGTACTTTTGTTCCTTATTCCCCTCCCCCCAACTCCTTCATGTCTATAATTTTTTCCCTTTCTTTCCTCAAAATAAACTCATGATATTCGTTTAGGAGCCCAATTTGTTACCTAATGTGCCCACAAATAGACTTACTAATATAGGGCATGATGGATAAGCCTCATTTTTCTCCTATTGTCTCCTTTCAGGAACCCAATTCAACCCACAGACCCCTCTAATTGAATTAGGATGAGTCAGGGCGACTATGCATATTCCACTGACTCCAGCAGCCCCGGTTTAATTCCATATCACTGATAACACCCAAGTAATGGAGATAGGGATTACTCAGCCTTTAAAAGATGCTGGTACGCTCTGTCTAGGATTTACATCAATCTCACTCTCTCATTACAAAACGTGTGTATACACATAATTCTTCAAAATATTTTTATCATCAATGAAAACTTTGTTCTGTATACTAACAACAATCCTTTAAAAGGTCCTAAAATTCACATTATCTTTTCAATCCTATGCCCATGAATTTACTGTGCTCCAGCCACAAACAGATCGTGAAATTTTCAGAAAGGAGTACAGAGCCTCGAAGAAACTTGTTGGCTGTATGGAATGGGATCAATCTGCTTTAGAGCCAGGACTCAACCAGGAGAGAGATTTATTTTTTAAAATGGTATGTGACAGAAAAAAAAACATGGAGAGTTTATAAGAAAGCCTAATTAAGAAAAATTTCCTTGGAAAAATGTCACCTACAAAAATATAAGGAAAATAGATAAATACCTCTTACAATAATTTCAAAAAGAATGAGCAACATTTCTGTCACAAAAATATTCATGTCACATGTTGGAGGGTCAGTAGCTCCCATGTTTACGTGCAATGTCAGTATATCTATGGCTTAATGGCAAATTTAATTTCTAGAGATAACTATTTCTAGAGACCCTAATGGAGGTATCTTTAATGGCTATGCTGAAAGAGAGCAATGGGATTATTTTCCAGTAATATTTGTCCGTCATTCTAGAAGCAGGCAGCCTTTTGTTATATGAAAGCAGATGAGCAGATCCTAAAGTCCAGGTGACATTTTGCGTAAACACCACAGTAAGAGGAAAAAGTAGAGAGTATTACATGATGTAACCATAAACACACATGAAACAAATTCTGTGTCATGAATCTATTCATTAGTTCATTTAAAAATACATTTAAAGCCATACTGTCAAAAGATAGAAATAGTATATTTTTTAAAACCTGCTATATACTCAGCACAGAGATATTTGATATTTGAGTTTCTATATTTCAAACACTAATTCTGTTTTTTTTTTTTTTACAGTGGGGCATACTAGCCTGTGAGTCCTTTCTACTTGGTCTTACTCATCACAGTATCTCTCCTTCATATTTAAAACATTTTTGTCACTTTAATCTTATTTAGGTTGAATATTCAGTAGCAAGTTTTTGATAACTTTTATAAATAAGTACACTAGCAGTCTAGTTGCTTTTGTCTCCATATTGGTCCAGAATGTTTACTGAGTTTATTATTATAAGCCTATTTTACTACAGTTACCTTTGTGGTTCAAATCACAATTAAGTTAACCTGATTCTGTTTCTCAAATTTTAATGAGCGTACAAATTACCCAGAGATCTTGTTCAATTAAAATGCATGTTCTGATATATTAGTTCTGGAATGGGAGTTGAGGTCCTGCATTTTTCCCAAGTTCCCTGGGAATCATGATGCTGTTGACCCACAGACCACACTTCAAGTAGCAAGGACCTAGAAGGCATCTTAGACACAAAGCGTCATGGTTTACAGGGGAAAAAAAACCAATGAGAACATTGGTGAAAGGATCGTAGATTATACCCAGCATTTTAGCACTCGGGGATTAATTCTGTTCCCAAGCATTCTTTTGATGCAGGCACTGTTCAGAGATTCGAGGAATTTAGACATCACTCTTATTAATTTAGTTTGTTTTCTCCCTCACAGAGCTTAGCTATTGTGAGTGCTCTTTTAGTTTCACTTTGGACCAGGAGTGAGGAAGAAGCCTATTTGGAGTCCAGTACTGTTCAGGGTCAGACAGAATTGCACAGGACAGAACAGGAGGACTTAGGGCATTTGCTGAGCAATGTGAAGTCACCAGGCCACTGACGAGTTAAGAAGGCGATAGAATACATGTGTGGACACCTGTGGGTCATCTCCAAAGCTTGCAAAACTCCCTTTTTAAGAAATGTGTCTCCCCATGTTACATCCACACAGCAAGCAAAGTAGCTATCTCCACATGGTATGAATTCCTTCCACTCTGCTGGAAATGGGTGGATCCTTTCCATTCTGCCAAGACTTGCTTTCCTTTATGAAGATACTAAATTCAAGATGAACCAATGAACCCCTTCACCAAAGAACCTGGATCTGTAACAGGGATACCACAAGATCAGTCTAACTGCTCTGTGAACAGGAAGGAGTGTGTACTCAGCAGTAATTAGTAGTTTTTCATTACATAGACCAGAGAAACAAAGGAAGGTTGAGGGAGAAAGAAAAAAACAAGCAGACAAATATATACAGAAGGAATCAGAGATGGGGAACCCTTTGTGTTAATTACCTAGTTCCAGTTCACTGGTGGTCCTCAGTCATGTCCCTGCCACTGTTCAAGCTACAAGAGTAGCCTTTATAGAAGCTGTGACTTGCAGCCAAGAGCCCTAATGTGAGAACTGACCACAGCAACAGGGTGATTTTGCTTAACCCTACTCCTAATTTATCCACTGAAAGACTCATATATAAACTGCAACAACATGTTTGATACTTTATAATCGTAGAAGAAAGTAAGTGACAAAAAAATGTTTATTATAAGTGGTTTTCAACTCAGGGCGATCTTGCCCCTTCAGGGGACATTTGGCAATGTCTGGAGACATTTTGATGATCACAACTGGAACCTGGGTTGGGGTAACTGTTACCACCATCTAGTGGGTAGAGACCAAGAATGAATGTGAATATTCTATAATGCACAGAATACTTCCCTTTTTACCCTTCCCCACTCCTTTCCCCAACACACACACACACACACACACACACACACACACACAGAATTGTCTGGCCGAAACCAGCAGTACTGCCAAAGTTGAGAAACCCTGCTTTAGAGGAATACCGTTTGTATTTTCACACATTATGATTTAAATAAATTGATATCTAAGTCTCTAAATAGCCAAAAGTTATAAATATCACTGCGGTTCACTTAATGATCTATAAGAAAACAGACAAAATATATTATGAATTGTGTACCTGAAATACTAACTGAAATCTGAATAGAGGTCTCTTCCAACCCTTAGTGACAAGTTTTCTTTCTTTACAGAAGGCACAAAAAATTCTATAAACCAACAATTGTGCCTAAATTTGGCTATTTCTGTCCATTCTTGTTTTCAGAAAATGTAAGATTCTTGAATGTATATGTGAGACATTTTTACTAGTTTTAATACACCTAGTATAAAACTAATACATCTACTATAAAAGTTAATTTTATATCATATCTTTATCATTTTTATTATTTCATAATTTGAAAAAAATACCCCATTCACAAGTTTTGACAAAATATGGTTGCCTCAGATTCTGTTATATATCTGTGACTTATTAATGTTGTTCATCAGGTTTCTATAAATTAAAACTACAACTATTTCAAATAGAAGATAAAAATTTTCCTTTGTTATAAGGCTCTGAAGTCCCAATAAAGGATGTAACTCCATTCAAATCAGTGATTATATACAAGCTTTGGGGAAAAAAAGTAATTCACCTGGATAGTTGCTAAGATTTCTTTCATCCTGGTTACCATAGTTTCAACTTGTGTTCATACCTCCAAAGAATACAGATTATATATATGTTTATTCTAAAGTTTTTGGACCAACCTAATGGTTACTGGAAATTCACAAGTTAAATCGCAAGAATCTAATAAATGAGCAAAAACTCGCTGAAATTGGTTAACTATTCATTTAGAGCAAAACAAAAATGCTGACAAAATACTGAGTACTAGAACAATGAATTTTTAACTATATGCCATTTGGCTCATTTGAGAATAATTTTAAAGTTAAAATAGTTCTAAAATAATTTCTAACTGTGGTAAACACTGCCATCTGGAGGACTTTCTTTATAATGCACATCAAAACTTAAATGCCTAAATGTGATAAACATAGATTTATGCTGTATTTTTTTATTTACAAATTTCATAAATCCGACACAATATTTTCTATCTCTTATGAATTTAACTTAGTGGCAACACTAGGGCACTAAGTATTTTTTACTATGATTCAAGTATCAATAATAATACATTGTCAAAGAAGTTATTTGAAATAGTTTTAATTAACCATGATAAGTTGTTCACATTTGCCAATAATTTACTCAAAAATTTAAATTATAATATCAGAATTATAGCTATGTTCTGGAAAAATAAATATTAGAACCAGTAGGTAGAAAAATCAGCAATAAATGATATTAATATGTAATGTATACACTTTAGATGTTCTTCCAGAAAAGTAACAAAATTACCTGTACTATTCTTATTTCTTCCTTTGCTTTTTTGTGTTAGTTTTAACATGAGCGTTTTTCGGTTCTGTTTCATTGACTTATACAATGTGCTGATTTCTAAGATCTTCTTTTTGAGGAGTTACTCATTAACCAATGGGGCTGAGACCCTGCAGGATATTCATCGCCTAAAAAGTTGTAAAAAAAGAAAAGTACCTTGCTGTGTTGTTTATTTACATAGAAATACTAAACACCTTCATACCTGAAGTTTCCATGGTCTAAAATCAGTGAGCAGTAAAAGAAAAAAGAAAGAAAAACATCTATTTTCTATGATAATTTCTCCAAATAACAATAGCATCCACTTTAAGGTTAAATGGCTATCAAACATATAAATTCATAGTTAAAAATTATTATACAAATGTCACTTACTAAAATTGATTTTTATATGCTCCCTGGAAACCAGACTGATTACTACTGAAACTTGTGAACAATCTACTTTGTATCACTTGTAACCAACATTATTGAATTTGCAATTCTTTGAGATAACTAGGAATCTATTTTAGTATCTTCTGTATGTTAGATCTGCACTTAAACTGCTAGAGATTAATTCTGTTATCAGGGAGACAAAGGAGACTGTAAGTTTCAAATCAAGTCAAATAAGACAGATAGCATTAAAATATAGTTCTGCAAAGTAGCTATAAAGCTGTCGAGATGCCTAGTTGAAGGGGAAATCTATGACAAGTTAGTATACAAGTAATTTTTCTTTTCATAATTTGATGTTTTAACTACAATGAATATCCACAATAGAGTCCAATACAATTTTATTCAATTACTACTTTGCATTGACGTGAGTAAAAATTACAGGGTTAATGATAGTGGTGGAATGCTGACTGGTATAATCATCACCATTTTACATCTGGTGTTTCAGTTGTAAATGATTACTGATGAGAAAGGAAGGAATTAAATCAGTATCAATGGACATAGGAATAACTACTTCTTTTCCCATGGAGACTATATATGTTTATGTTTTATATTATTTGATACTACTTATATATATATATATATAGTATACTTTCTGTACAGTTATTATCAATGTAAGAAATATTAAGGAAGAAAATAATATACCACAGAGAAACACAAAAT